AGCAACCCCACCTGGCACCTGACCCCCATCCCCCACCCCCCACCACACACACAGAGACAGCCCGCGTGGGACGCTGGGGGACTGCGAATTTCTCTTTAAAAAATATTTGTATTGATTTCAGAGAGGAAGAGGGAGGGAGGGAGATAGAAACATCAATGATGAGAGAGAATCACTGATCGGCAGCCTCCCGCACACCCCACACTGGGGATGGAGCCTGCAACCCTGGCGTGTGCCCTTGACCTGGAATCCAACCGTGACCTCCTGGTTCATAGGTCCACGCACAACCACTGAGCCACACAGGCCGGGCTAGGGTTTCCCCTTTAAACCAGCTTAATAGGCTCTGCCTGTCAACCGACCCGCGCCAGAATTTAGTAACCTTTGCTGATGTTTCCATGGCAGGCTTTTGTCGTCGCCTGCTCTGCGTGGCTCGGGATCGCGCAGTGAAGCTAAAGTTTATGAACGGAAGGGTTTTTAGATCCGTTTACAGAAAGGGATTCCGCAAACAGCAGCGCTGGTGGGCGGGGCTGCAGCTCAGAGCCGCCGGCTGCTGTGACGCCTGGGAAAAGACAGGTGTTTCCGGCAGCACCTGGGACAGGGCTGGCCTCTCTGTCACCCACGTATCCTTCGTGCCCTGGCTGTGACCTCGGAGAAGTTGCCACACTGCTCTGGGCCAAGTGCACATCTGCTCGCGAGTGAAACAGTCAGGGGCTGTGAGAACCCAGTGGGAAAGGAGACGGGAAAGACCTTGGGGGCACCCCTACCCGGTTTTTGTGGAAGGGAAGCGTAGGACATGCCTAAAAACGACAGCCATTCCCCAATTCCCTGTTTCTCCTCGTTCTGGGAACATGATAAGCTTGCACTCTCCTTTGCAATTAGGCGTGGTCGTGTGTGTGTGTGTGTGTGTGTGTGTGTGTTTGCCAATGAGCAGTTAGTGAAAGCTCAAAGTGAGAGCCAGCCGGGCAGTCACCAGGTCCGGTTCCTGGGTTCCTGGGTTCCTGCCCTTCTTTGCTTGGGGAATCCGCTGCTTGAAGTTAATACATTGCGGACGGATCACGAGAATTCTCGCTTTCAATTACACAATGGTTTACAGCGTATCGTACTTTAAAAAGATATTAGCTTGTAAGAACATGTAATAAATAACTTCAAAATGCAATGGGTATTTAATTTTAAAGCGTGCCTTTTACATTTATGTAAAACGTTTTTTGTACTCGACCAATAGAAACTTACCTGGCAACTGGGCAAAGTTAGCAATAAAACTCCTGGTCCGCAATGCGTTAAGTTTCCAGTCAGCCCGAGTCCTGGAGGATCTGCAGTGAACAACCCGGGCTTCCTTGGAGATGTAGCATTAACACATACATTTGTTTTGTCAAGCCACCGAGTTTTGGGGCTGTTTGCAACATAACCTATTCTATCTTGACTAGCGCACAAAGGAAGTATTTTATTTATATTTATCTTATTACTAGAGGCCCGGTGCATGAAATTCCTGCACAGGTAGGGTCCCTAGGCCTGGCCTGCGATCAGGGACGATCAGGTTCCTCACCTCTTCCTTCCCTCACTCCCTCAACTCTGCCTTCACTGGTAGCCCCCCCCCCATGTTCCGCACTGCCCCCGGTGGTCAGCACCCATCATAGCAAGACATCAAACACCAGAGGGGACAATTTGCATATTAGCCTTTTATTATATAGGATGAACTACTCCTGTATACAAAAGTGTTCAGAATAAACAACTCCCTCTACTTACTAATAACCTTAAAATATACAGCATTACAGATGCAATCTAAGCCCACAGTGTACCCCACCCGTTCTCCTCCCTCTGTCACCTGAGGTTATCAGAGTTTGCATGTTCTGTTTCTCTTTCCCACGCGTGACTTTCTTACTTTGCTACATTTATTAAGCGACATGGCATTGGTCACTATCTCCAGTGCTTTCATGGGCCCTGGCAGTTCTGCCCTCATAGGCTGGGCCCTTTGTTTCCAAAAGATATATTTAAAAGCATAGTTTATGGCTGTGTTGGTATAAAGATGAACCTAAGCTAGGCTGGATTACATTATTTTCTGATTTCAACATTGTCTTTTTTTCAAGGGCCCCTAAAAGTGCCATTAGCCCTGTATGTATCTGGTGTGGGCATTGTAAACTTTTTTTGGAGTAGTTGATAATCTGTTTTTTCTAGGTTAGATGTGACAAGTTCTTTATTATTGACGTATTACCGATGCCCCCCATTGCCTCCCTTTTGCCCCCTCCACTGAGGTCCTGTCCTACCTGAGACTTTCATTTCACTATTGTCTGTGTCCATGTGTTATGCATATATGTTCTTTGGTTAATCTTTTCCCTTCCCGCCCCCCATCCCCTCCCCTCTGAGATCTGTCAGTCTTTTCCATGCATCCAGTCCTCTGGACTGGTTTTGTTCTTTAGTTTATTTTGTTCGTTAGATTCCACATATAAGTGAGAGCACATGGTATTTGTCTTTCTCTGACTAGCTTATTTCACTTAGCTTAATCATCTCCATGCCTGGCTGGCGTGGCTCTGTGACCCATTAAGCAGAAGATCACAGTTTGATTCCAGGTCAGGGCACATGTCTGGGTTGTGGGCTCCATCCCCAGTGGGGGGCATGCAGGAGGCAGCCGATGGATTCTC